ATTTTAGCCTCTCAGTGTCCTGGATAAACATTCCAGTTGTTTTTTCAAGACAGAAGGAGATTTATCACTGGTTTTAATGCAAAGTGTGAGCTGCCCTGCAAAATTCAGGTTAAAAAAAATATATATATTTTTTCAAGAGGGTTTGAATTGTAATGACTGCACGAGAAATTACAAAACTGAGGAGACACCTTAATAAAGGGCTGCTGTGCTATGCTAGCAGCAACTCTTTTAAAGGGAGGGAACATAACTCCTCCCCAGCCTCCCTCTTCTCCCAGCTCCTTGTCTCTGCCACAATAACTGAGTGTGTAGCTGCTCCCTAACTGCTTGTACCAACATTATTGCTCCAGCCTGACAGCAGTGCTTTGTTTTTGGGAATACAACAACTCCACACACATCACCCAGGCTGGAGTAAGTGCAAGGGGGTGAGAAAAAGCTGGAGGGGCTGCAGGGAGCAGAAACCTGTGCCCAGAGAGGGGGATTGACTGTGGGGAGATGAGAAAGGCACTGATGGAGAAGCAGGACTGCAGGCAGAAAATCATGGAATCACACAGAAAAAGCTGAATTGGAAGGGACCCACAAGGGTCACTGAGTCCAACTGCTGGCCCCACACAGGACCATGCCCATGTCACACCCTGTGCCCAAAAGCATTGCCCAAAAACACTCCTGGAGGTCTGTCAGGTTCATGGGCACTCACCCTACCTTCACCTTCAGAGCTGACCTGAGAGTCCCACAGAGGCCACCACAGCACAGAGGTTGGGCAGGGCTGTAAAACCTGCCCAGAGAGCTCGGGCAGGACAGAGGTCACTGCCAGGGCTTTGCAGCAGGAAAATCCCAGCAGGATGGAGCGGGGCAGGGTGATGGCAGCCCGAGGTGTTGGCACACAGGGACTGGGCTGTAACCACCCCTGAACACCAGGGCTAAGCCCCTGCAGGCGCTCCCAGACAAGGCCATGAAATATAAAAGCTTCTCACACTCAGGGATAGAAAACTGAAAACAAAGTAGCTTGAAACTGGCATCGAAAAATTCATAAATTTGCACATGGGCACACAAAGCTGTGGCTGGTCCTTTGCTGCTTACTGCAGTCCCAAAAGAAGAGTGTGGAATCAGAATATCCCAAGCTGGAAGAGACCCACAAAGAGCAAGTCCAGTGACACCAAAATCGCCATAGTGTGAAACCACAACATCCTTCAGGGTCTTGCAAACAGCCTCTGCCACTTAACATCCTCACCGTTTTCCTCTTTTCCTGGTATCACCTCAAACCTAAGAACACGATCAAGTTCTGTAAATACTGTGTGGTCAACTCCCAACACAACAGAAGCTGTGCTCACACCCAAGATGTTCCTGAAGTAATTATGTTCCTTCTTTATTATCATTATGTATTAAGTTCCTTGTGTATTATCCCTGGTTTTCCCCACCAAAATGTAAATCATTTAAGGAACACCTTATTCAGTGGCTTTTAAGAAGCAAATGTGCCATGTTTTCATTTTAACTGGTACATTCTGCCCTTATCAGATGAGTTCCACAAGAAATAACACCCACCTCTCTTCACAACTGTTTTCTAAATTAAAAAAAAACAAAACCACCACTTAAAAGAAGGTGATCCTTACATACAGAAATCCTGGTTCCCCTAAAACCACTGGTGATACCAAAACAAATAAATACAGCAATGAGTTCAAAAGAAAAACGTGCATATGAAAATATATTACAAAATATCAGGAGATTTATGTCTTTGTGTGTGTAGCACCACTAAAGCTCTTGAAACAAAGCATTTACTATCATAAAGCAAGACTACAGATACTGCACAGCTTGGAGAAATTACCGAGTGCCTGTCACATGGTCTGCTTTCTGCAGATCAGACCCTAAAAAAGTTGAGTTCAACACTCATCACACTTCATTTGCAGGGCAAATGCTGCTGGTTTCTCAGGTGCACAAAACGGCCTCTCTTCTCTCAGAACAGTATTAGAAATTCAGATTTTTTTGCAGGTTTGTATGAATGTCAGATGTAGACGCCATTCTGACCACATTTTTGGGTCTCTGAAGAGAACAGAGCCACCAAAAATCCTTCGAGCAGCTGGAGCAGATCATTGCCTGCTCACAGAGCAAGGCACAGAGGCCACAAACAGCCTCCTGCCTGTGCTGGGTAGGTGTTAATGGCACACTTGTGCCCAGGTGGGCCTGAAAAGTGATAAAAATGCTCATTCTGAAAGCTGGGCTTTCAAGATAAGGCAACTGTGACAAAGGGTGCATTTTAATGGGCAGAAGAATGTGTCTTCTCAACTTTTATCACCCAATCCAGGATGAAAAACCCTTTCTGCCAGGGAGACCCGAGTCACTAGGTGAGCTCTGACACCAAAGGCCACCAGCTCGGGGCACAGAGGTTTACAGAAAGGTCCTGCTGGGGCAGGAGGGGCTTTGGCAGCTGTGCCCAGAGGAGCAGGGAAGGAAGATCCCCTAAAGGAGCCGTCCTGTGCAGCAGCAGCAGCACCAGAAACCATCAGATGGTTTGAGAACAGAGTTTTTCAGGCGGAAATTACTTCCTCCTCCAGCAGTAAAAACATGAAGGAAAAATCCTTCTTGCCAGAAGAGTTACTGAAATCCTTGAAGGCCTCTCCAGCCTTTTGCTATCTTCACAGGTTCTCCCAACAGAACACCTGGGGTATCTGTTACACCACCTCAGAAATTGAGCACTTGGAGAAGTAACACATGCTGAGCAAATAAACTAATCCCCGTTTACTAATCTGTCAGGAGATAGCATGTAGTACATGCTTCCAGATCCCAGCAGATAAACATGACAGCAGGAATACATTTGTTATTCTAATTCCTTAGCCCTACAACAAAACAAATATTTTTTCCCGTCCTTTCTTCAAACAACCCCACCTGATCAGTCCAGGAATTTGCTGTGTAGCCCTCATTCCCACAAGCAATGTTTCTGCAAAGCTCGAGCCCTTTTCCATGTGAAACTTGCTCTGTCTCATGGATACAATAGCTAATTTTGGACTTACCCTGCTCCTGCTGGGCCAGAGTCATCACTGGCATGGCTCCACTGTAATTCAGTCTACTGATGCATTACAGACAATGCACAACATGAGCTAATCCTTAATGATGCTTTTCCCCCCTTTCCCCCCTCCCCAACGTATCATTTAAGTAAATAGTAAAATGACATACGTAAAAATTATTAAATGAAAAAAAACAAACAGCAAACAAAAACCACGCTGAAATCGTCTTGCAGACACTAATTTCAGATGACACAGTAATCAGATTCACAGATACATTAGGACAAGCAGTGCAGCCCAGAGGAAAAGGCACAGCTCTTAAAGTCACAAGGCCTGGTCAGAGCTGCAGCTCTGCACTGACTTCAGGGATTGTTCCATGTTCCCACCCCATTCCCCAACCTCTGACACACAGATGTTAACATCTCAGCACAGAAAACCTAACCACGGTCATTTCTAAACAATAAAAAAGCAGATATGAAGTTGTGTCTAAAAATTAATGCCAAGGTATAAGGGGCTCCCACCGAAACAGGCTGATGCCTCCCCCATACCAAGGTTTAAGATCTGTAGGATCCAGGTTCAGTGTCATAAATTAACATGAAATGTTTTAATTTCTGCACAAATTTTCTTTAACAGTGAGGAACAGTCAGGACAATCTCTGAAGGCGAGTATGCATGACTTGTGAAATATGTTTGTGTTATTTATTTTCAAACTTTACCTTTTTTTCTTTTAATAAAGCATTGTGTTTGGCCCAACACTTTTCTTCCTTTAAATCATAAAATATCAAATCCTTCCTTATCTAAACCACTCTGTTAGGAGTCACAGAAGTTCCACGGGCCTTCATGCTCTGCTCCCTAACGGGTCAGCATCAGCCAGACAATACCCAGGTCACAGCAGCAGGGCTGCTCCAGCAATTTTCATCCTTTGAAATGGTAAATATTACAGAGAAGTGCTTTAAATGGTAAATATTTCAGGGAATTATCTACGTGGAAAGCACGCTGCTTACCAAGAACTTGAAAAATATAGTTTTTAAGGCATTTGTATTGCGTGGTGGCTCTACAGGTTTTGATTTCTGCTTCAAGTAGAAGCCGGAGCAACTCTAACAAAGGCTGAGAGCTCTCATCTGCATTACTGGCCAAAATCTTGGCCGCAGTCATTCAGCACCAAAAAAGATAAGGAGGCTTTATTTTTCCTTTTAAAAAACCACTGCAGTTGTTGGAAGAAAATTTTAGGAGCTCCAAACATCCACATTTCTAAGCTACTTGCTTCACTTTTTCATGCAACAGATGCTGCTTTGTATCAGCTCCTGCATATTAAATCATTCTGACAAGCAAGAAAGCATACATTTGTTTGTGCCAGAGAGAAGCATGAATACACACACACACACACATATCTTCTCACGCAGAAGCACACAATTATGCAGCATTCAAATATTTGGGATGAACTTTGGCCTTTGCTTAAAAAAAAAAAAAATACTCTCAAACAACAATCAGGAACAGACCCAGCAGTCATCTGGCTGAGCTCACAGAATTCAACAATCTGCAGCAATAAAACACCACTTGTGGGCAGCCATTTGAAAGTTACTTGGAAAATTATTCTTAGATGGGATAGTTTTATACACGTCTTTTATGATTTATGATGGCCCTGTGGATCGAGCTCGGAAAGGAGACTGAAAATAAAATTTATGTTCATTCAAAAAATGGAAGAAAAAAAATCAGTTATATTCACCCTGACATGTGTGGTATTTTTTTGCACTCCAAACGACCTCCTTCAGCTCTGCCATTTGCATTCCCGATTTAAAAAGTAACTCGAAAACATCAGCGGAGCAGGGCTCTAAATCACCCCTTCAGAGCAGTAAGGAAGAGGCCAAACAACCCAAACAAAACCGTTTTCCTGACGCGCTAATCACAAGAAAATCTTAATGCAACAGCACTTGAGAACACGCTGAAACTTCTGACAATGCGAACACCCTCAGCGAGTGGAACTGCTCCGCAGCGCTTCCAACTTTTTTTTTTTTTTTTTTTTCTTTTTTACGATCTCGGCTCGAGGCATATTTTCTCCACTACGTTTTCCCTCTCGTTACTACAGAGTATTTCAATTCTGCAGGCAGTTACGGGTTTTTTCTTAGCTAGCTAAGGAGCAGGCAGGGAGGACCGACACCGCGCCGAGCCGTGCCGGAGCCCGGGGGTCCCTGCGGGTCCCTCGGGGTCCCTGCGGGTCCCGCCGCGCCCTCCGCACCCCGGTACCTGGGGATGGTGATGCACTTGGTGTTGATGTTCTGCGTGGTGATCGCCTTCTCCAGCTCGTCCAGCTGCCCCGTCTTCTTCAGCTTCTTCACCAGGCTCTTCACCGCCTTCTCGCACCATTTCTCCTCCTGCCCGTTCTGCTCGCCTTTCTTCCAGCCCAGGAGCCGCTTGACGATGGGAGGAGTGAAGGGCAGGATGGAGGACATGCTGGCTGTGCCGGCAGCGCCCGCCGCCGGCTCCGCGCTCTGCCCGCCGCCGGCTCCGCGCTCTGCCCGCCGCTCGCTCCGCCGCCTCACACCGCACGGCCCTGCCCGGCCCGGCCGCTCCCCGCCCGCCGCTGCCTCAGCGCCGCGGGCCCGCGGCTCCAAACTTTGCCCGGAGTTCGCCGCCTCTCCCCGGCGGCGGCGGCGGCGGCAGCTCCCTCCTCCTCCCCCTCCTGCCCCGCTCTGTGTGCGCGGAGAGGCGCCCACTCCAGCTCATTCCCAGTCTGTCTCTCATGCAAATTGCCTGCTGGCCGCCCCGGCCCGGCTTCCACCCCCTCCTTCCCTCCCAAACACGCCGCCGAGGGAGGGAGGGAGGGAGGGAGGGATGGAGGATGGAAGGAGGGCGGGGAGGCGGCCGGCCCGCCGGGAACTCCGCGCCTCCATCGCCGCCCGCGGAGGCCCCGGCTCCCTGAGGGGGATCGCGGGGCCCGCGGGAGGACCGAACAGCCCGGGAGGTGCCCGGACAAACCCCACCGAGGGCAGGCAGGAAAAGAAACACAGGCTGAAAGCCCCACAAGTGTAAAGCCCCACAAGTGTAAAGCCCGCTCAGGGAGGGGAAGGGGACAAGAGGCTCCCCAGCGTGGCTGCAGCCCCTGCCACGGGCATTTCATCCGTGGAATTTGTTCCCACACAGATACCTGAGCACAGCTTGGCCAGCCGTGCTCAGACAATCAGCTGCTTTTTGTTCCAACTCCTTTAATTTAGTATTCCATTCCCTCATCTTTCCACCCGAGCAACAGGTACCCGAATAATTTTTGCCCTGTATCAGACAAAAAGGACACCCTGGAGGTGTTTACCGCTGGAGCTGGTCAGAAATTCTCAGACGGAATATTTTTGTCAGAGGACGGCAGTTTGTTCACATCTAGGTGTTTTGTAGAGATGCTTCGGTTTGGGCTGACTCAGGGTGGCATCCAGGTACATTTCCAGTTTCGAACTTTCCATCACTGAGCAGACTGGGTTGTCACACTCCCCGGTCTCAAGAAGCCTAGGTTCTAAAAAAACACATAATTATAAACTTTAGCTCCTCAAAGCAGCAGTTCTCTGTTAAACTACCCCAAAATGGTGCTGAGCGAGGAGCCTCAGAGGCACCTGCAGAGTCACCAGGTGCCTCCAACCAGGCTGGTTCCTTTTCTCAACTCCAGCTGCATCTCATCTCCCTGCAGCAGCTGCCCAGGAGCAACAGGATGAAAGTTTTGTGGGGCTTGGCTCCCGAATTCTGAGTTTTCAAGCTGAGCTATGCTTCCCAGTTCTCTCCATCCTATCAGGAGGGACGGTGGTGAGCCCGAATTTGGGAAGCCTGTGGGGCTGCTCAGCAGCTCTTGCCAACCCACATTCTCATATTCCAGGATCCAGAGTAACCCAGTGGGGAGACTCCTCGAAAGCTGGCATTCCCAAACCCCTGTGCCTGTGGATTTGGAGCTGCCAGCCATCCAGATTGCCTCGTGGCGACTCAGGAACCGATGGCATCACACAGCATCTGAGGCAACTGCCTTGGCTTTCACAGGCACTGCAAACAGGCTTTATTCCAAATTGACAGTACCAATTTTTGAAATATTAATATTGGATAGAAATTAAATATGCCCTTATCTTTTTTTTTTTTCCCCTTCAGCATTCTTATATTACTCCCCAACATGCATTCCCTGAGTGTCTTGAATTTTGGAGGCTCACCACTAAAATTTTGGACTGTTGCCCTGACCCAGTTTTTGGCTGCTTTGGTTGAAGTACAAAGATGTGGAACCCCTGCAGATTATCCCAACATCATTTGAGGAAATATCTCCTGAATACCTCTAAAGCACTGCAAAAAAATTATGGGTACTATTTACACTAAAAGCAGGATGCCTCAATTACTAACTTGCTAGCACTGTTGACTTTCTGTATGTTTGTGTTTTTCTGAAAAGGCCAAGTTTCTGATAGTTTGTGATTATTTAAAGGTCTGAATTCTTATTTAAAAGTTGTTCACAACTTTAGAAAATGGCTTGAATATGTGGACCAAGTGAAACACAGATGGGGAAGTTAAATACATTTTTTAAATGCAGAAATACATTCTTACTACATTTTGAAATGGGGTGAAGTTAAATAATCTTTTTCTATTTTCTCAATTCTTGTCCCAGCACATTTTGCAAGCCCAGAGGCCGAAGGACCTGCCTCAGACCTGGTAAGTCCATATTACATCAGGGTGATCTCAGAGCAGATTTCTCTTCTGAGGACCAACATTTCTTTCTGGCTCATTTGGATAGAAAACCACATGCACTATTCCATGCTTTTTTCATCCAGAAAGATATGATAGTACTCAAATCTCAACACTAGACTCGGAATTCATGCTGTGACCTCGGTTCAGCAGAGCTTCTAGAATTTTCTGTCCATGTTCAAGATCTGATCTTCACTCCTCACAGTCATATCACAAGTCATGGTCTGGGTACATTTGAATAAGGGGAAGGAGAGGAAGAGCTGAGTGGTTTACTCGTGCTTGTACAGTGATTTAGTGGCAAAAGGGTGAAGATAATTTGCTAAACACTAAATCAAACTGTGTCTCTCTTGCTTACAACCTCTAAATGAGGTGTAGGCAGCTCAACCACTGATCTAAACTCTGGGCCACAGCAGCACTGAAAACACTCCTGAGAACAAACAAACAGTTGGGCTTGGGATGTGGGATACATTTTTAAACTTAAGGCCATGACATTTAATGGAACAGATTGTGTGCTTGCTGGGGTTACCTGTCAGAATGAACTGTTCTATGAAAATATGACTTTCTGAACCCCTAGACAGTGATCCTTTATTTCAGAGAGTTTTGGACACTCTCATAGTGGAAAAATTAACAGGAAAAGCAGGACCGTCCCAATTCTGCGTGGTCTGGATCCGACTGCTGGTTTACAAAATGTCTGACATCTTGGAAGCCACCACTAAGCAGGAGAAGTTTATGCTTCTTTTTGCGATTGTGCTCATTTTTTTGTGGAACAATTTGTTCTTTACTTTTAAAAAGTCATTATCTTTGCTTGTGTTTGGAATTCTAGAGGTTCAGGGCCACAGTTTGCTCTCACTGAGAAATAAAGATATATGCAGTCTGCAATAATGTGAGGAAACCAAACACTTAAAGAAAAAAACCCAAACCCTTTACAGCTATTTTGCATTTCTTAACCTTTTAGACTAGAACCTTAAAAATATTGAAAAATAATATCTGCATACCTTGGGTTTTGATATGATTAATGAATAGGACCAGGATTAAAATTCTCCTTTCACAACGATAAAAATCAGCTCTGCTTTAGGAACAATATAAAATTAGCATGAGAAACAAGAAGGTGTTCACTGGAGCTCAGCTGTGCATATATGTACCTTTATCAAAAATATTTTTAACGGCTTCAGAGACTGAAGGATTGTTCTGTGCTTTGCTCCATGTTCTCTTTATAGCCTTTGAGTAGTGAGAAGGGATTTTTGGGGCAGACAGGAAGGTGTTCAGGGCGAGCTGGGACAGGCAGGATGGAAGCAGCGTGGCCAGAGCACGCTGTTCCCTGCCTGGGCTCAGGCTCTGAGGGATCCTGGTGCCTGCTCCAACAGCTCCCAGCGTGCCACTGTGGCTGGGTTGAAAATCAGGGAGTGGTTGGGAAGCAGTTTCTGAGGTGCTGCCCCCGTTTCTACCTCACTGGCTGAAATATTAAATGTATTTCCTACCTGTACGTGGAATTTTACAATTTCCAGCTGGACAAGCTGGGAAGCTCATAGCAGGCAGGATGGTGGCCTCGACTCTTCTTGTTCCAGTGTTCTCCATGAAGGGTGAGATGGGCAGCACTGAAAATGAGGAATTTTAAATTGGGTTATCTTCTTTGCTTATCTTGTAAATAAGGGCTGTGGCATTTAACTTGGAACCTATGTCATGTATAATGTGCATAAACAAGGGAAAGTGTGGGAGCTTTCCCTGGTGAAGGTAACATATATATATATCTATATATGTAGAACAGCGTTTATATGCAAGCAAACCTATCTTAATCACTCAGAACAAACCCACAGGAAAATAACTTCTGGCGTGAGTCATGAAAAAAGTGAGGCCTTTGTAAGTTAATGTGTTCAGCAGTAATGTCAGCTCTGTGAAATACACAACTCAGTCAAATCCTCACAGGGTACCACAGCTATTCTTCTCTGCAGATGAGAAAACACGCACGCACAATAAAAAGTTGTTTTGTTGGAAATTCCTAATGCTTCATACACACAAGCCAATTCACCTGCATGTTCCAAGAGGCTCAGTGGTGCAAAAATCACACAACCACTTCTAGTCAAGCCAGAATCCTTTCTGTTACCACGGCAGCACCTCTTGCCTAAGGGAAAAATACGAGGCAGCAGCACGTCCAGAGTGATCCTTCTAAAACACTCTCCCAATTCCTGGCAGTTATTTGTGTAGGCGCTCCTGAACTGGAGCTGACCTCCCTGGAGAGCCATGGACAGGCCATTCCTGCACTCCAAAACCTCTCTGCTTCTGATTTACACCTCTGAGTAGCCTTCCCCAGGTCCCCATGGCCCATCTGGGGCACAGGACAGAGATAATCTGAAGAAGAACTGAAATTATCCATTGCAAATAACGATTCCCTCGTTGTTTCCTTTATGAACTGTGTGGGTCTCGGCAGAGAGAGAAAGGGCGGCGCTGAGGCTGGGGCAGGTGATGATCTCCCAGGAAATGTGAATGTTCCCCTGTGTGTCACAGCGAGATGTGAGGCACCCGGGGGGTGTTTGTGGTGTGCAGGGAGATGGGGGGCCCTGGCTGCTCCCCTGGGTCGGGGCTGCTCGGGGCACTCGCAGCTGCACGGGAAGCGCCGAGCTCTGCTTCACTGGCATGGCACGTCCTGCTGGGCACGGCCTCAGCCCTCCTCACAAACACCTCCAGAGGGTACAGAGGGAATCCATCCCAGCTCTGATTTGTCCTGCTGGGCATGGCTTCATCCCCCCTCACAAACACCTCCAGAGGGTACAGAGAGAATCCATCCCAGCTCTGCTTCACTGGCATGGCACGTCCTGCTGGGCACAGCCTCAGCTCCCCTCATAAACACCTCCAGAGGGTACAGAGGGAATTCCAGCTCTGATTTATCCTGCTGGGC